GTCTCCTTTGGCAATTCGAACCGCACCCCAGGCTTAGATGGTTGCGGTTTACTGGAAGGCCCGATGGGATCTTCTCTACTGGCAGGTATGATGGGATCTCCACTGCTGGCAGGTTGATCTAGTGTTCCCAAGATATAAGCGGGCTTTAATCGATCTATCGATATCTTCACTTCCCTGTTCTTAATTTTTAGCGTAAAAAATTATCAGATTTTTCAAGAACTGGATAAGGTCTTTCGTAATATGGTTCTAAAGGCTTTCTAATTCTATTGATTCTCAAGAAAACTTGATAAGATTTAAATAAATCTTTATGGATAAAAATATCTTTGGTTACATTGTGACTCGTTGTTATTGGTCTAACCATATGCATATACTCTATGAGGTTCGATATAAATAAACTGGAATCAACTCGACTTACAGGCTTCTCAAAAAATTATCCAGGTAATTTAATGGTTTTTCCATAAACTATCTGTGATATTGAAAAACCCGTATCCTCTCAAATAGCAGCGCGTAACGTTAGAAGTATTGTCGGCAGAGAATCGGTCCAGTTGACTGAATTATGAGCTTTAATAGCAGTTTTAAGTGTCCGATTAAAACGTTCAATTTTACCATTACTTTGAGGATGGTAAGGAGTAGTATGTAGCAGTTTTGTACCGAATATAGCTGCAAGATCTTTGAATACTTGAGATGTAAATTGTTTTGTCTTCCCTGATCTGAAACTATAGTGTAGGGAGTTCCGAATCTTGACACCCAGTTATTATAAAAGGCTAGGGCTACACTCTCAGATGTTGTGTTCTCCAAGGGTATCACTTCCATCCTGGACGTATATCTGTCAATGCAAGTGAGACAATAATACTTTCCATTTGATGGAGGTAGTGGCCCAATTAAATCAATATGAATCACACTGAATCTTTCGTCGGGCTCTCTAAATGTACCAATTTGGGATTTTGTGTCCCTCGTTACCTTTGTTTTTGGACAATTAATGCAAGCCTGGGACCATTTTATTTCTTTCCAGATAAATTTTGATTTAAGTTGATTAATTATAGCCTTTATTTCCGAATGATTTAAATCGTGAAATTGATGAAAGATTTGAATTCGAAATATTTCTGGAATAAACGGTCTTATAATTTCTGTTGACACATCACACCAAAGCATTTTGCCAGATTGTAATGGATATTGTTTAAATTTTAGCGATGTATTTTTTTGTGTAGATTAAGTAATTCATCACTATTATTTTGTTCCTCTGCAATTTTATCATAATCAATACTTGTAACTGCTTCTATTCTAGACAACGTATCTGCAACAATGTTTTCTTTACCACTAATATGCCGGATGTCTGTGTAAAATTGTGAAATATATTGAAGTTGTCTCTGTTGCCTTGGCGAAGCTTTTTCATTATTTTGTTTGAAAGCATATACTAATGGCTTATGATCAGTGAATATATAGAATTCTCTTCCTTCCAACATATATTTAAATTTTTTAATACTCAAATAAATTCCAAGTAATTCCCTATTATAGGTACTGTATACCTTTTGAGCATTATTTAACTTCTTCGAAAAGAATGCTATTGGCTTCCAACAACTATTTTCAAATTGCTGCAACACTGAACCAATGACATTATTAGATGCGTCTGTACAGAGCGATAATGGAAGTGCAGGGTTGGGGTAGCATAATAATGCAGCACTTGCTAAGTCTTGTTTACATCTTTCAAACTGCAACTTGGCCTCTTCTGACCGTCTTTTTTGGTGACCAGGTGAAGGGGACTAGCCCATTGTGATTTTGATGGCCTGATTATTTCATGCTCGAGCATAAATTGGAACTCTTGTTTAGCTTCATTTAATATTTTTGGATCCAACGGTCGAGCTCTAGAGAACACTGGGGGTCCTTTTGTTATTATAAAGTGCTTCACATCGTGATTAGCTTTCATTATTCCTACGTTGGGCCTCGTAATATCTGGGTAATTAGCCAATAGTTTAGAAAAATTTGATGTTGTTCTATAAGAGCTAAAAGTCTCTTCAGAGATTGAGCAGATATCACCTTTTATTGTCAGGTTTGTTATACCGTCAATCAATTGTATTCTATTAATATCGAGGATTAATTTGAAATTATTTAGAAAATCGGCTCCAAGTATACCCCTGTTGGTTTTAGCTATTACAAATGGCCATTGGAATTGTCGCCGTAGACCAAGATCTAAAGATAATATTTGAGTACCGTACGTGGAGATTTCCGTTCCATTGGCTGCATATAGCTTGAAATCGTTCAGGGTGGTCCCAATTTTTCCTTTGAAAGGTATTAAGGAAACATCAGCTCCACTATCTACTAAGAATCGCATGCCAGTATTTTTGTCACTTACAAATAAACGGCTATTGCGACGTATGTTCTGTCCAGCAGCAGAGTGCGTCGCACCACTTACTGCTGGTTGGAGTTTTCCTCATTGACCCATTCACATGGCATTTTGCATTTTCCAGGTAGGCAGTTTTTTCCATTCCTATAATGGAAATAGCAAAATTTTCCCTTTGGATTATATCCGCCCTTAGATCGGGAACGGGAGCGTGGATTGTAGCGATAATCACGTGAACTTTGGTCACGAGATCTACCTTGATGCTCCATTTTCATACTTTCTATTTTCTGTTCCAGAGATTCAATTTTTTAAATAAATTTTTTGTTTCCTTCTCCGGCTTATCTGCCTCGTAAATCTCCGCCTTGGGGTTTAATTCGGCTATTATATCAGCCATTACTGCCAATTTGTCGAGCTCTTCCTCGCTAATTATTGAAATTTGCTGAATTGCCTGTGTTATTTTTCGAGCCATAGCGTCTTTATAAATTTATCGGTTAAGTCCTCTGTTGCTAATGATTTCAATTTCTGCAACAGCTGGCTAGGCTTTAGATCACCTAGTTCAATTCCCGATAGCAGTTTTCGAATTCTTTTTGATTCGCCATCTTTAAATATTCTAAGAAGTCTCTCTTTTGCCTCTGAATATTTATTTATTTCTTTAGAGGTAATTATATCCCAGAGGTTTTCGACATACTTTGGGTCCAATTGAGCGATTAAATAATTGAATTTCGTATTTTCTTTCTTTATATATTATTTATCAAGAACTAAGCCTCAACTTAATGGAACCATATATCAGGTCTTTCAATCCAGAAAGGTGGAAGTTTAATATTTACCTTATAGGTCTCAACTTTCTCAGTTTCCTCACTTTTCATTTTATCAATTCGTTGTGCTGGTTCTTTTGTTCGGCTCACCAATTTATGTGGTGGTTAATTAACGACAATCCACATAAATAATTTCTTAAAATTTTATTTGATAGCGATTCTGTTTTAAGTTGAAAATTTGCCTTGAATTAAATACCAAACGATGTACGTTTTCGTTGTTTTTAAATATTGCGAAATATGTTATATTTTTGTTTTAAATATAAATATTTAATATGTATTTCTTAAATATTTATTATTTGATATTATGAATAATTTTTATTTTTTCACTTTTGATCGAATTGAAATTCTTGTTTGATTGCTTGCAAATGTTCGTTAAAGTTTATATTTTGAATACGGCTCACCAATTTATGTGGGCGGCATGGAATTCTAGGCGGAGTCAGATAAATTATTCATTGTAAAATCAACTTTTAATTACATTTATTTAATACAAATTACCAGAAGGGGTTAAATTGTTGTATATTACACGTTGAAGTTCTTTTTTGTATATGTGTGTGTGTGGTCAAATATCATTTCTAGATTATATAATGTTAGATATATGTGTTTGATATATTATAGATAAATATTTACATTTTATATGATCTATATTTAGAATGATGTATAAATATTTTATCATATTGATATGACAACAATTAATATGATATTAATGTTAACTCATATAATTTTAATAAAGTATATTTTATGAGCATTATATAAGATAATTTAATTTAATATTTAAATTAAATAGTTATTAAACAAATTAAAACTTATAATGAAAATATGAAAAGTTAATATTTGGGAGCCGCTACATATATATGCGCGTTATTATTTTGTGTTTAATATTATATAAATATTAAATAATAAAAAAGCATATATTGAATTGGATTGCTGTTTTCAGAACAATTTTAACCAATTTTGGTACCGACGCACTTCACCTAGCAAATTCAATCCAATATATCCCTTTGTATTATCTAATGATTTAAATATGGATTTCTCTATTTTCACAATTATTTAAATATGTTTTTGTACATTAATTTCAGTGGCTTCATATATTCTTAAATTCTCAAAATTTATGAAGATTATTAATTTTATCATAATGATCTTATTGTCTTTTAAAATAAACTTCCAATTAGTAACTTTTATATTAAATTTTGAAGAGGAGATTATTAATTAATTAATTAAAATTCGAAATTATTTTAAAGGCGTAAGATTCTTTTTGAAAATAAATACCCATCCCAAGAGTCTAACAACAGTATCACTATAAAAGGAAGTTCCAAAAATGCAATATAACAGCGGTATGGTAGATTAAACTGGTGAAACCGCTGTAAGGTTCACCACTGATGAGACAGGCCTTCCCATTAATTTTTCCATTGCAGTAAGGGCATTAGAAATTGTTTATTTTCAAAAAGAATCTTACGCCTTTAAAATAATTTCTAATTTTGATAACAGATGGCGCGCTAGTGCATCAATTAATTAATTATTTATTATTAATGCCTTAATCTAGATATATAAATAAGTTATGCTTATTTAAGTGTGCTCAATGAATGAAAGAGAAATATCATTACAAGGTAACTATAAAACGACACTTGAAGTTACACCGCATGAGTTTCTTTCCAACGACAAATTAAAATTTTTATTTCAAGGTGAAATATCGACTATTTCTAACCTTTTTTGGATGAGGTATGAAAGGATGAATTATGAAGAGTAATGACGAACGGAAAAATAAAATCGTCGTTTTGCAATTACAGGCCGCAGTGTATTATATTGTAGTATAAGTTACTTTATGTATCATTTACGAACGGAGAAATGCGTCCAGGGTAGCCTAGTAGACATGGCATCTGCCAGATAAGCGGAACATTTTGTGTTCGATTCCCATCCCTGGACACTTTTATTTTTCAGTTCGTCATTACTCTTCATAATTCATCCTTTCATACCTCATCCAAAAAAGGTTAGAAATAGTCGATATTTCACCTTGAAATAAAAATTTTAATTTGTCGTTGAAAAGAAACTCATGCGGTGTAACTTCTAGTGTCGTTTTACAATCACAGACCGCAATATATTATATTGTGGTTAATATCGTTTGACATCGTATTTGTTGTGAAAATATATAAATATAATAATTAATATCATAAACAGCTTTATTAAGACCACCGGTCTTATACAGATTCACCACAGGAAGAAGGCATAGATGGAGCTCCTATACTCCAGGCAGCACAGATCCCAACAACAGCCTACAGGTCTGACCCATGTCCAGTGGCAACAGAATCCACCGTGCATATAAACATCTATAGCACAAACACATATACACAGATTTATTAAGACCACAGGTCTTATATAGATTCACCACAGGAAGGAAGCATAGATGGAGCTCCTATACTCCAGGCAGCACAGAACCCAACAACAATCTCCAGGTCTGACACATGTACAATGGCCAATAATTAATATCTTTCTTATTTGTAAATAAATATTGTTTGAAAGTAAATAAAAATTCGAATATATATATTAATGCATTTATTTCATTATTTTGAAAACTTAAGGTTTTTCCAGTTAATAAAATTTCTTCTCAGAAATTGAGTTTAACAATTTCTGGGAATAAAACATTTGATATCCAGAAACAAATACATATTTCGAGAAATGTTTGTCTCCGAATTCTGAAGAAAAATATTATTAACCCGAAAAACATTTTCTAAAATAGAAATTCTAAGAATTCGTTCCAGTTTAATTTTCAATAAATGTCTGTAATTCTATAGATGAGAAATAGTTGGTAAAATATTTCCACGTCCTAGGCGAATTCAAGATTTTGGAATTGTAAATAGAAACATAGTACACTAAATCTACAATATTTAAATGTATATTACCTTTTCGTAAGGCCTAGCTAATTATTGAGGAACCTTACCACAACAATTAAACCATTTAGTTTCATTGTTTTGAAAATAGGACATACGTCAGACCTGGAGGTTGTTGTTGGGTTCTGTGCTGACTGGAGTATAGGAGCTCTATCTATGTTTCCTTCCTGTAGTGAATCTGTATAAGACCAATGGTCTTAATAAAGCTGTGTGTGTATTCTGTTATAACGACGGACCTGGAGGCTGTTGTTGGGTTCTGTACTGCCTGGAGTATAGGAGCTCTATCTATGTTTCCTTCCTGTAGTGAATCTGTATAAGACCAATGGTCTTAATAAAGCTGTGTGTGTGTATTCTGTTATAACGTCGGACCTGGAGGCTGTTGTTGGGTTCTGTGCTGCCTGGAGTATAGGAGCTCTATCTATGATTACTTCCTGTGGTGAATCTGTATAAGACCAATGGTCTTAATAAAGCTGTGTGTGTATTCTGTTATAACGTCGGACCTGGAGGCTGTTGTTGGGTTCTGTGCTGCCTGGAGTATAGGAGCTCTATCTATGATTACTTCCTGCGGTGAATCTGTATAAGACCAGTGGTCTTAATAAAGTTGCTTGTGTTTTTAAGAGATTACCTATGGTATCTTCTTTAATAACAAGTCTTCTGTAACTCTAATTAAATATGTCGGTATTCCTATTTTACCTCTATATCTCGTAATCCTATTGGTGAATTTTCTTCAATCACATTTTTATTCTTCCTTCTTATCTCTACTCAATCATATTAGGGTATCAAGTTGTGACCCTTGATGGTGTCTGTTTGATAACCATCATGATTGGGTGAAGTAGAATGCGTCTTCCTTTGACATTAAGACTGGGAGCACTACTCAGTGGCAGGCCGACTTAGCTCCAAAAGAAATAGCCGCTTCTGACATTAGAAACAGACGCCATGTGCAGCCGCTCCTAACATGGAGTACAAACGCTGCTCATCCTGTATCCCTGAATTAGGAGACCTTACAGGGTACTATTAGCCGGGCCAACTGAACCCAGTTTTTTAGTGAGCTTGTTACTGCTCCCCCTCCTCCTTTTTCATCCGGGCTTGGGATCGGCAAAGGCTGAGTTTTAAAAAGTTGACATTCTAAAATTGTGTTAAGTTTGTAACTTACATTGAGTCTATGAATTCTATATTCGTTAAATATATTTAAATGTCGTGGTTTGGTATTTTAAATATCTCTATCGTATTGAATCTTATTTTCGAAAATTTAAAATTGAAAAAACTTTCCGATAAACACAAATTTTTTGTTTAACAATTATTGACACAAATTCGCTGTTCAATTTCATTTAAAAATATTTTATTGATTAATTTCTAGTCATGAATCCTAAATTTACCAATTTGTCATAACCAAATAATATTTTTATTTACCAAACATCAGAATCAAAAGTGAAAAATATACTAAATCAAAACAAAATATACACAAAAATTTTAAACTCATTATTTTAAAATAAAAAAAACAGTCACACACTATGTGAGAGATATCTTAGCATACAGTAAACTCTCCTATAACCAGATTAATGTGTTCCGTGTTGTATGATATCGCATTATAGGAATTCGTGTTGTACGAAATAAAACTTGTATAACGCAAATGTTGTTAGGGTAAATTGTTAGTGACAAATATCATGTATTTTATTTTATAACGCGTTATACGAAAATTCGCGTTGTATAAATAAATTTGTCGCAATTTTTTATCGCGCTGTATGAAATCGCGTTGTAGGAGAGTCTACTGTATTTAATATGTGTAAACATATTTACATATATAATTTATAGATGTCGCTCTGCCATCTAAAATTCTGATATGAATGGTCAGGATTGATTTTTCATGGTTTTAATATATAATTATGAATTATTATTTATTTTTTCTATTGTTCTTTCATGTGTTAAGCGTATTTTCGCAAATTTGGCCTTAAATACCCATTTCTTGATTTCTCAAGAAGCCTCTGGGACCAAAATTATTTTTGGTCGCAGTGGTACAGCCTACTCCAGGCTGACAAGCGCCAACAGCGCGAAACCCGTTCGTGGATGGCTTTTCTTGATTTATCAAGAAATTGGGTTGGCCAGTTTAGTCATAGTTAGTAATAAAGGTTAGTTTATTTTTGCTCCACTAGATGGCGCTCTGCCATCTGAAATGCACATGTGCTTATGGTCAGGAAATGCCTTCTTTATTTTTAATATCAACACCTGACCCACTTATTTTTTTCTATTGTTTTTTCATATGAATAAATATATGTTATAAAATCATTAGATTTTTAAACTGTTCAAATTTTCATTCTAAATTATTTTGAATATTTCTGGAAACAGCTTCTAAATCCTTACTATCGATTTATTTTTATTGAATGCCAGCTGTTCATTACGTCACAAAGGGCTACGTCTATTTTATGCAAATTGATTCTATAATCTATTCCAGTTCATCGCGGTTACCTAGAAGTCCTTGTGCACTTGCATTGTCAGCTTGAATGAGCGTGTGAACACAATTTTGAACTTTTACATGTTATTTAAGTATATTTTATTTATTGCCAGTTTCAAACAAGACACGCTATATCCGATATGGATAATTGCGCGTGAAACTATTTACAATAATTCATATTGTAGTGGAGTAGGTAACAGAATTATCAAAAAGAAAATAAACAATTAAGAAAAAAGAGCATTGAATAAACATCTATATATATAAAAATCAATGTTTGTATGTTTGTTTGTTTGTATGTCCGGTATACAAATTCGCAGTATTTCACTAATTCAAACCAAAATTTCCATACATAGGTAAAAAATACGGGGAATACGATAGGCTATTTTTAAAATTATATAAATCAATTATTAAAACTATATATTCAAATTATTCTACTTAGCTCACGAACAGCGCCCTCTATCAAAGATTAGATTAAATTATGCTGATGCAAACAAATAGATGATGCTAATAACAAACAATTATAAAAAAAAATCTTATCTAAATATATATCACTCGGGTAGATATGCACACGGGTCAATCCCGGGGCGAAGCCCGGGTCACCCGTCTAGTATACAATAAACAAATAAGCAACAACATAAACAGATAGAAGAAATCGCAAGGTAGTTATTTACAATATGTTAAACAATGATGGAAGCTTATTTAATGAAGTTATCTGTAATATTTAGTATCGTGGAGAGAGAAAGTTGATCAAGTTGAGCCATTTACAATGAGTTATATTCTAAAGTAACTTATTAATTATTTACATTGATGTAAATCAAGTTGCATAGTAGTGTAGTTCCTCAAGCTGGATGAAGCTGTATATTTAAGTATATTATAGCTTGATCACAATTATTGATGGTGAATATAGAAATTAGATTAGTCCTAACCGACTATGTTTTTATGGAACAATAATCTCCATGTATACATTCTACCTTTGCCAAAGTTGGAAGTCAATTTTATATTTTTCTGCAGACTCTTTATTATAAATAGACAGCTTCATGCAGCTTGAGGAACTACACTAATATGCGACTTGATTTACATCAATGTAAATAATTAATAAGTTACTTTAGAACATAATTCACTGTAAATGGCTCAACTTGATCAACTTTCTCTCTCCACGATACTAATTATTACAGATAACTTCATTAAATCAACTTCCATCATTGCTTAACATACTGTAAATAACTACCTTGCGATTTCTTCTATCTACTTATGTTGTTGCTTATTTGTTTAACTAGACGAATGGCCCGGGCAACGCCCGGGGTTTACCCGAGTGCGAATATATTTTAAAAACGTTGACTTGGGTGGTCGCTATTAACAGGGTGGTCTGTATAGACAGGTGGATGTATCACACAGCTGATAACAGGGTTGTCTAGAGTGGTCGCTATAGACAGGGTGGTCTGTATAGACAGGTGGATGTATCACACTGCTGATAACAGGGTTGCCTAAGGTGACCGCTATAGACAGGGTGGTCTGTATAGACAGGCAGCTGATAACAGGGTTGTCTAGAGTGGTCGCTATAGTCAGGGTGGTCTGTATAGACAGGTTTA